AAGTTGGCGAAAGCTGCTCTAGCTTTCGCTTTTCGAGATGCGATCTCGTCCCCAACACCCCCACCAGCTGCGATCAAGCTCCCGAAGTTCTTAAAGGTATGGGAACTCTGTCGATAATTCAAAAGTACTCGACAAAATTTTAAGCTAGAGCCTTCTAAACCATATACCTCTTGCGAACGTACCGGAAAGGCTGCATTGTCGTTGTTGGAGATCTAACAATTTTAATTTTACCTCGTAAGAAAGCGGAGTCGAAATTCTGAGATTTCATTTGTCTCATTGACCAGACATAGATCGAGTGAAATTAAATTTCAAATTTTCAATTTTCGAATTCCAGGACATGATTTTTCCGGGTGATGGCGTGTTTTGTCCCGGTACTGACTCGCCTGCGAGTTGGCATTTTTACCGGTTTATCCGTTCCTTCAATAGCCTACAACAGTCAGCGTAAAAGCCCCAACCAGAGCAATCGGAAAAACTGTTGAATAAACCACTTACGGTCTTTCAGTTATATTTCTCGGCTGCAATTCTCTTAGGTCAATGGAGGTGTTTAATGTTCTATTTTGTTTTAGTGCTCAACTTCGTGGCGCCACTTTTGGGTTCTAGCGCGTTGTTCAAATCTCGGCCTCTGCACGTTGTGTTGGAATTATGACGAATACTAAGGGTTATCGTCGCGGCACACGCCACCTGTTCTCACGTGCATTCCGGCGACATGGTCAGCTTCCAATGTCCGTGTATATGCGCGTATATAAGCGCGGCGATATCGTTGATATCAAGGGCGATGGCGGTGTCCAAAAAGGTATGCCGCACAAGTGCTATCACGGTCGGACTGGGAGGGTCTACAATGTTACACCTCATGCTTTGGGTGTTATTGTAAACAAGCGTGTTGGGTAATGCGCATTTTGTCCCTAAGATTTTCTTCAGCAAACGGATCATCCCGAAACGCATTAACGTCCGTATCGAGCACGTGAAACCAAGCAAGTGTCGGGAAGATTTTCTTCGCCGCGTCAAGGAAAATGACCTCAAGCGCAAAGAGGCTAAGGCCGCCGGAACCTACGTAGAATTAAAGCGACAGGTAATTGAATTTGGTTAATATAACTCTGCCTTAGCCTGCGCAACCCCGACCGGCGCATGTCGTTAAGACGAAGACCAATCCGGTTGTCACTGTCCATCCACTTCCGTATGAGCTAATCGCCTGAGTTCTGTATGAATAAATATCGGATAACACTCGACTGTTTATGCTGTCATGTCGGGTATCGGTTCGGCAGTATGGTATACGGTTTGTTCGCAACGTGTGCCAATGTCGATGCTTTCCAGACGAATTGCAGTTTGTCTTTCATGCCGAGTTTCACGAAGAGACTTCACATATTTCGTAATAGGCTGATTGAGCTAAATTGTATGAATAATAAGAGAAAAACCGATATTCTGGATAACTTTAGGACCACGGTTTGCAAATTTGCTACTTGAAGCTGTCCATGTTCCTGAATGAAAGGCTTGGAGGACCCCACCGTGCTCCGGGTTTGAAAAAGGCCGAGTTATTCCATATCAAACGGTTATGAACACTGGCTAGTATGACGTTCAGGTGTTGAGGAAGGCCACAAATTTCACTAGTGGGAGATTGTGTTCTTACTCCCATTATCAAGCAGTGTACCTTCGTTATTCAAAGTCTGCCCCTATAGGATTATAGTGGTTTGCACCAAGATGGCTGTTGCCTAGCAAGCACTAAATGAGTCAAGAAGACGCTTTCTACTAGTTAATGTAGTTCTCGTAAACCATGAGGCCCTAATTCCTAACTAGTTTGGTCAATTATGGCAGCCCTATGATTGGCCGCTTCCCCCCCCCCACCTGGAAACCGTGTCCTTGTATATTCAATAAAAGGAAAATATAAAGAAGGATAACTGTGTATGATGAAGCCTTATGGTTCAGTGTTTGTTGGGGAGGTTTCGCCCAACGCGTCCTATCTTTAATTGCAATAACTTCGATAGTATTCCTGAAACTCGAGTACGATTTCTACCATTAAATCAACTTGCTCCGTTAAGCAAATAAGTCTATTTAAGACCAAGTAGTTATGCATGCGAGCTGCGGTGAAGTAGGGTGGCCAGCAGTGTAACGTAAGCCGGTCCGAATGGTCATATTTTATTCGCTCCGAAAAATCCGACAAGTCTCGATGCGGAATTGTCAGGTGCTCTTCAGCAACTTGTTATGTGACCTCAACCAACCTCTGCCGTTTGCGTAGTGTAGATCTCGTAGTTGCGCAGTTCTAGATCCTGTCGAGCCAGGGTTTTGATTCTAGATGCGTTTGTCTTTACACCCTGCTCCTAGGCCTATTTGACTCATCCCTTTTCTGGCCTGGGTGCATACAGTCGTTCGCGGCAGCTAGCTCCTGATTTATTTTGCTCTGACGTCTGAGATAGATCAATGTCATCAAATGAAACATCAACCATTTGTGCGTCGAATCCTAAAATCCGTTCAGCTCACGCAGCGAAGATGCATTCACCTGCTATGAGGAAAACGGAAAACGTGGGTCGCAGCATTTTCTCTCCAATATGCTCCAACGGGTTGGTCAGTTGTATTGGGCATTTTCCGTTGAAGATCTTCATCAACCTGAAAACCTCAAGACTTTCGTCCCACTTAATTTCGCCTGTGAACGAGCACCTCCAAAGAGCCTAGAACTGTTTCAAGTCTGAGGTTTGATTAGCTCTACTCATCGTGCAGTGGAATGAGGTGAAGCAAACTCGTCGTTGTCAATCTCCTAGAGCGTACAAGGTAAGTACGCATGTGCAAGGTAACTTCTATACCACACGTCTAAGTTCGACTGTCAAACAAATCCTAGTGGAAGGTTCATGACTTACTGCTAGGATGAATAATTTCGGGCTAACCGGGTAAGAGCAGTTTAGTTTACTGGGGGAAATTCCCGACCAGTGTGACGAAGCGGTGTCACTGTCCATTTTCCTGTCCCTCAGGTCATGCATTCTAATCACTTACAGTGTCTTGAAGCCGGCGATCACTGCCACAACCACGAAGGTGTCTGCGATTAACGGAAAGATGAACTGCCAGTGTTTCTCCGTTTCGGATGTTCACTTTTCGTCCACTCGCTTCGATTAGAAAACACTACCACGCGAGGGCACGGAGCAAGGCTTCCTCAACAGACGCTTTTGGCACATATAGGGGCGTTTCTTAAGATGCGTGTGAAATGATTAACCACAGCCGGAGACACTCGTCTTTGATACTGAGGCCCTCGGAAACAAAAAAGCGACATTGTGGTACTACCTCTCTTTCTCTCTCTCTATGTATACATATATATATATATATCACGCTCACCAGATAAAGCGATCCGACTCCTTAGTCTATCAAGTGCGCTTTGTACCTCTTCCGTGTATTCGAACTGACGTCAGCCTGGGCTGAGTCGCACAACTCTCCCTTTTATGTCCATTCGGTAACAGCACTTTGACTGCCATTTGGAGAGGCCATCAGGCCCGACTACCCACGGTCTCTTCAGTGGTAGAATGTAAGTTCGTGATTCTAGTTCCGCTGGGGGTTCATATGACCGCTTATGAAATTCCGATTGCAACCGCCCCGGTATCCTGGTTAGCATCAGCGATCGAACCACTGCCCCTAGTCACGGGTGGTGTCCACTTTTCGTTATACACTGTAATGAGTAGCAGACGGGGTGGACCCCATGGCCTCCAAGATCTGTTGTGCCGTGATGGAAATCGGAAGCCTAAGCCCCGAGACATGACGTGGCAACGTACATCAGACCCTACTATTTTAGGCTTTATAATGGATCGGACGATATCGCAGCAAGATCACTGAACAGGATTCTCCGATCTCTGGAGCTTATCAAGTGAACAAGTCTTTGACTAGTCCTTAAAGCAACATCTCATAAACTTCTTCGGTCCACTAGTTTTCAAGGTCTCTCTTGAGGCTTTTCCTATGGTAATGGCATAGGTGTCACTAATCCTTGCTTTGACCCCGACCGGTTGTGATCTGTTGCTTATTAATGGTGACCACTGATTCCTGAAACAGTTGCTTTTTTGGCCGGAATTTAGGCTTCAGTCCACAAGGTATTTGCTGAATGAATTGCAGTTCTAAACTGATCATATTGTTTACCTACACCATGTTGCAGAGTTCATAGCTCGTGCCTAGCTTTCCCGTATCATACGCGCAAATAGCTGAATCAGGCAGATGCCTGCCGTAGCTGGAATACGGCATGAATAGCTTGAGACAAGATTGAGTGTTCGAAGGTGTAAGGCCTTATTATTCTGACATTGTATATTGTTTTTCACACGTCTGATTTCAGTCTGGGTGCCACACATCACGGCACAATATTCTTTGTAAAAAGAAAAGGTCCATGATTTGCCCAAGAGCGCGATACTACTAGGTTGCCCAGGCAGGCGAATTTTCTTGGGGAATTCTCAATCTAAAGATTTCGGCTAACTAAAACCTGTTCCCCACGGCAGCCGGGGGGGGGATTATATTATTATCTACCACCGGCTTGTAGACAAGCATGGTGCCAACGCAACACCAATGATAACAATAACAATAAAAGAGGACAGGTGGGTTGGGGTAGAGAACAGAGTGAAACAGTTAAGCACGGGTAACTGGAATAACAAAACCTTTTTGTGTTTCACCGTACATCTGATATTTTTTTGTTTTTTTACTGGGCACGGGATTTCGACAGGCGGACCGTACAGCATTCGCGCCACTGACTTGTATTCTGGGCCGTATCTCTCAGCGTCTCTAACCATAGACAATCCTCATCCCTTGGGCCCCAACCTGGAAGGCGGGCTGCACCAACCGAAGCCAAAGCTGAAGCCAGCTTCTTCATGCCTCTAGTCCATGTCATAGTCTGACCGCCGCGCCACTTCTTTCAGCCTTCTTCGGCACGTGCGAAGAGAACACGGAAACGTAGTTGATGGGCAGGCATGCGCAATACGGGACCAAGCCATCGGAGGCGGTGTAAAGCGATTACTTCTGTTAGAGAACGACTATCCGCACCTAACACACGACGACGAACCTCGTCAATACTCACCCGGTTTTCCCATCAAACACAAGCAATGCTTCGGAGACATCGGTGATCAAATACAGAAAGTCGATTAGCATCCTCAACGCGGAGGAGCCAGGTCTCGCGACCGTAAAGGAGGACGCTAGAACCGCAGCGACGTATACCCTTTCCTTAAGGGACAGTTGGGTGTCATGGCGGCGCCACAGATGTCGCAAGTTGGCGAAAGCTGCTCTAGCTTTCGCTTTTCGAGATGCGATCTCGTCCCCAACACCCTCACCAGCTGCGATCAAGCTCCCGAGGTACTTAAAGCTCTCAACTACTTCCAGCTGATCACCACAGAAGGTGAGTGCAGGCACAGGTTCCTGCCAGTTTTGAACAAGAACTTTGCATTTGGAAGGTGCAAAGCATATACCATATCTGGATACCTCGATCGCCAAGCGGTTCAGAGCCTCTTGGACTACCTGTGAGTTGTCACCCAGGAAGGCGATGTCATCGGCATATTCTAAGTCAAGAACTCTGTTCCCTGGGAGGAGTTCAACCCCACCGTTTGCTAGACCGGACAAAGCGTTCTGCAGAACATCCTCTATGACAGTTGAAAAGGAATGGGGATATAGGGCAGCCTTGTTGAACTCCAATGGAGACGGCGAAGGGTGGCGAAAGCTGGCCATAGGCCCTAACCCGACCTGAGGTATGACGATACAACTCTGAGGATCGACACACTTCTCAGGTACTCCATTCCTCAGCAAACAGTTCCATAGTGCGGTCCTATCGACAGAGTCGAAGGCCGCTCGGATGTCCAAGAATACAATGATCGTCGGTCTCTGATAAGCATGACGGTGCTTTAGCAGCTATCGGAGGGTGAAGATTCGATCGATGCATCCACGACCGGCACGAAACCCAGCCTGCTCCTCACGGGTCTGCTCTTCGCGCGTAGTGTACAATCGGCGGAGAATGACGGACGCCAACAGCTTTGACGCTATCGGGATAAGGCTTACACCCTATGATTGGCGCAGTCATTGCGCGAGCCCTTTTTGAAGATGGGGACGACAATTGATTCCCCCCACGAGGAGGAGACCTGCTCAGTGTACCACACTTTAGGGAACAGAACTTGTAGTTCTTTCACGGCTTTATCCCGCCATCTTTAAATAGAGCAGGGGGAAGGCCATCGGAGCCCGGCGCTTTGTGACGTCCCAA